GATCAGAGGCCTTGTTTTAGGATTTAGCCTGAACAGCACCCTCCATACAGCCTTCCCTATGTCCTCTGACTGCCACCCACTCTTTGTGGTCTTCTAGGACTCAAATGTACAGCTTCCGGGGCAGCTCCAGGCCATGAACTGTCCTTGAACAAAGACCATGAAACTATATTCAAATAACAGAGCACTGTAAGGACTTGGTATTATATTTAGCGTTTTTACAAAGCTACCCAGTGCAGCCTTTGGCTCTCTCAAGTCTTGGTTCTTCAGTACAGCTCTAGAACAGGGCTTCTTAAACTTTTTCCACTCATGACCCCTTTTCCCTGGAGGGATTTTGTTTTGTTTTGTTTTTCAGTGTAGTCCTGGGTGCCCTGGATCTCACTCTGTAGACCAGGCTGGCCTCAAACTCACAGAGCTCCCAAGTGCTGGGATTAAAGGTATATGCCACCACCACCCATCACTGGAGGGATTTTTATATGACCATGGGTATCTAGGTATACAGCCATGTCTGGTGGTGAAATCTGTAATTCCAGTTCTGTGGAAGTCAGGAGAGTTGAAAGTTCAAGGCCTGTCTAGGCTACAGAGCTAGTTCAAGGCCAGCCTGGACTTTGTCTCAAAATAACAAAGTAGTAAGAGGCCTCAATGGTAAATCATTTCCCTAACATGTGTGAGGTCCAAGATTCAACCTCCAATAATGAAAAACTAAAATGAAAATAGGTATACAAGTCAACATTTGCTGATAAATAAGCCATACAAAAATTTATTTTAAAATAAATTTTTATTATATAAATAAAATTTTATATATATAATTTTACCTTTTATTAAGAACAAAAACCAGTTTCTAGGCCAAACTTGATGGTGCATGACTTTAATCCCAGCACTTGAGAGGCAGAGACAGGAGAATCTCTATGAATTCTAGGCTTGGTCTACACAGTTCCAGGACAGTCAGGGCGTTTTAGAGAGAACCTGTCTGAAAAAAAACTCAAAAAAGAAAAAAAAAAAACCCCACAAACCTAGTTTGCATACTACTAATTAGATAGGTGCTGTTTTTATTTTTACCCAAAGAATTTTTTTTATTTTTTTTTTGTTTTGTTTTTTAGTTTTTTGAGACATGGTTTCTCTGTAGATCTCTGGATGTCTTAGAAGTTGCTCTGTAAACCAGGCTGGCCTCAAACTCACAGAGATCGACCTGCCTCTGCCTCCCAAGTGCTGGGATTAAATTAAATCTGAAGATGTGATACTACAGGACAGAGCATCTTCACCATTTTTGATTGATGGATATTTTGATTTTATAATCACCAGTGCTATGAACTCCTTTCTGCATAAATATGCAGCACAAATGGCAGAAATATGTTGTTCTAGTTGCTTTCTCTTGCTGTGATGAAACACTGTGACCAAAAGCAACTTGGGGAGGAAATGATTTGTTTGGTTTACATATCCCAATCACAGTCCATCCTGAAGGGAATTCAGGGAAGGAACTCAAGACAGGAACCTCAAGGTAGAAACTGAAGTAGAGAACATGGACAAATGTTGCTTACTGACCTGCTTACCATGGCCTGCTCAACTACTGTGGAGGTTTGAATAGATACAGCCCCCATAAACCCATGTATTTGAAGCTGGGCAGTGGTGCTGTATGCTTTAATCCCAGCACTCAGGAGGCAGAGCCAGGCAAATCTCTGTGAGTTCAAGGCCAGCCTGGTCTACAAAGTGAGTTCCAGGACAGGCTCGAAGCTATACAGAGAAACCCTATCTTAAAAAACAAAAACAAACAAACAAACAACAACAACAACAAAAAAACCTCTTGTATCTCATGTATTTGGATGCTTAGCCATAGGACACTATTGGGAGATGTGGCCTTTGTTGGAGTAGGTGTGGTCTTGTTGGAGGAAGTATGTCACTGTGGAGGCAGACTTTGAGGTCTCATATATGCTCAAGTCATGCCCAGTGACCAAGTTGCTACTGTTGCCTTCGGATCAAGATGTAGGCCTCTCTGCTCCTTCTTCAGTACCGTGTCTGCCTGCATGCCACCATGTCTCACCATGATGATAATAGACTGACCCTCTGAAACTTGTCAGCCAGCCAATTAAATAAATGTTTTCCTTTATAAGAGTTGCTGTGGTCATGGTGTCTTTTCACAGCAATAGAAATCCTAATTAGCCCAGGCCCACCAATCCAGGGTGGCACTATTCCCAGTGGGC